CCCTCAGGACCTCAGACCCTCAGGACCTCAGACCCTCAGGACCTCAGACCCTCAGGACCTCAGACCCTCAGGACCTCAGACACTCAGGACCTCAGACACTCAGGACCTCAGACACTCAGGACCTCAGACCCTCAGGACATTGGACTCTCAGACTGACTCTGATGGAAGCAGGAATAAAACCTGAACATGATGCTGGATTTAAACTTTTAGATGTGCCTGCAGTTTGAGGTTCTGACCCGGACTCGTCTGAGTGGATAAAGACACGAATAAACAGCTTATCCTCCATAAGACAATTGGACAGGTGACATTACCCATGATGCTTTGAGGAGAACCAACATCCCTTCAGCCAGAAGAACAAACTTTATCTTTGAGTTTTAAGAACTGACAGAAACAGAGGATCATCTAATTACCTAATGTGTTTGTTAGTAAAATATCTCATGAAGCCCTGCAGAGACTGAGTCTTTAACAGATCCTTTGTTTTGTGTCAACATGTTACCATGACAACAACCAACCAGGTGTCCATCAGTCTGTGTTGGTGCACCTGAGCTGAATCAGGCCGTCAGCCATCATGTGTTCGTCAGAGGAATTTACAGCTTCATCAAATCATAAACCGCTGCTTTATGGTTCGACCCGGTTCAATAAAGACTTCCTCGTGTCAGTCAAGTCCTGAGGAGGATCCAGGTTCCTCTAAAACCTGTCAAACCCTGACAAGACGGATGGCTTATCTTTCAGCAAAAGTTTCAGTCCTTAAAGAAAAATCTAACAAACTTTAATGACTCAGAATTTAACGATATTTTTATATTTATTTTAAAAAATGGCTTCAGTAATTCAGTGTTTAAACTTAACCCTAAATGTTTTCCTCTGGATAGTTTGAAAAAATACAGATAAATGTCAAACAATTCATTTCAGATTGTAGCAAACTAGTTTTATAATCAGTTTTTATATGAAACTAATGAGTCAGCAGGTGTTGAGGTTAAACCCTGAACCCAGGAAGAACCTGTCAGATATAAATTAATCAGGTGTCTGAACACAAAACGTCCTGTTTGACATGTCTTATCTCTGAAACCTGGATTCCTCCTCTTCATCCTCCCTCCTCCTCCTCCTCCAGTTTAGGAACAAGACGCCTCTAAAGATGTTCTGACAGAACTTCAGGTCAGAGGAGACCAGGAAGCAATCCGGATATAAAACCAGGAGGAAGGAGCAGGAGCCAAAGTCCCTTCAGGAAGGAGGAGGCCTCCACCCAGGAGGAAATAAAGAAACTTTAGGGACAATCAGCTGAAAAAATATATATATATTACAAGTTGTGTTCAAGTTGAAAAAGCTTCCTGTAGAAAGGGTTAATCCGCAGATAATAGCAGTGAATTCAAAGGCAGGACAGAACAAACACAATGAGAGCTCTTATATAATCACCAAACACTCAGTGTGTGCATCCACAACACCAACTCTTCAACCATCATGGCTCCAGCAGCTTGTTGTCCATGCATGGCAGGAATCTCCGCCACGGGCTCAGCAGCCGGGTGTTGGGGGTCTGCAGGCCGCAGCAGACCTCTGGTTCTGGGTTTATAGGACTACAATCAGCCTACTCAGCCCGGGACAGGTCTTTCTCGTCAATGCTGCCCGGGTCTGTTCCTCTTCAACCGCCTGAATGACCCAGCCTTCTGCTTTCAGGCTTCAATTTTAAATTGAACGATTTTTGAACGGAGTCTGGCGAGAGCTCCGAACCAAAAACAAAGCGCAGCGAGTTACGTTTCCAGAAATATTATATTTTTTATTGAAAAATAAAACAAAGGTTGTGGATATTTGAAGCTAATGAACCGAACCTCAGCCGTGGTAAATGTGCTGGTTCTCCATTCAGCAGTAATAGTCCGGTCAGCTAGCTAACACCACCGTATCATTAGAGGAATTCTGCCGGTCCGGACACCGGTTCTTACCTGCTCCGTCTCTGAGAGGAAGCTCCTGGAACCCCGCGAGATGGTGTATCAAAGATAAAAATGTCTGTCTTTGCTCCTTTTTTTTAATTTCCAGAAAGGAAACGCACAACTTCAGCCGGTTTTCTCCAGATAAACTGCGTCCGCACCGGCAGCCTGATCACTCTCTTCCCGGCCAGCAGCCTCCCACTCCCGCAGCAATCCTGGGAAAAAGCTCCGTGACGTCACAGGCTGGCTGCCGGCGGAGGCCGCCTGCAGGTGGCGCTGTGGGCAACTTCAGCCTTAAACTCCACCCACTCATTAACAAAAAACCTGTTCCATAATATTCTTTATATAACACGGTTTGGATCCACAGAAACGTTTCTATTATTTAAAAAAATCTGTTGATGTTCTGCTGTCAGAGCTCAGTGCTCCTGAGAATAAAATCTCAGAATAATCAGATACTGATGATGGTTTTATGATAATGCATCAAAATCATTAAAAATTAGTCTTTATTTCTCAGTTCAAACAAAATTGTGTAAACAGTTTTTACAGAAATGTTAAATGTTTTCTCCTTCATATGTTCTACGTTTTTGTTGTGTTTTTTTTTTATAAGTGCTGTTTGATTAAAATATTAGATATTTGTTTTGGTTGTTTTATTCATCTATACAACCTAAACATAACAAAAACTCCCAATTAACTCTTGGTTTGAACTCTAAACTCATTACTGAATCACATTTATGGTAAAAATGATTAATTCAATAATTTCAGGTTTATTCATGATCTTTGATTTTTCCAGAACCTCTCTCTTCATCAGACACCCAGAAGAAGAAATAAGAGCCGAAGGATCAGCTTCTGCAGCTAAACGTTGTTTAATGTTATAAATGAATCCAGTCCGCAGAGCAGAGACACTCCAGCTCCGGCTGCTCCTCACAGCTGGACTCAGTACTCACGATACACACAAGCTCCTCAGTTTGTCCTCCTCTCCTTGTGAACAAGCTGAAAACGTAAAAATACTGAGGCAGGAGCCCAACAGAACCTCCTGCACAGACAAACATCTATGGAAACATAAGTTAACAGGAAACTTTATCAGTGAGTCTTAAAACGGTCCAAAGGCAACGTATTTACACGACACGGTCCGTTCGGTTCCAGAGCTCTCACAACGAGTTCAGAACCCATGGAAAAAAGTTCTACCAGCAGCGTACGACCCCGTTCAGACCACATTCAGGGGCTGATGGGTAAGTTCGGCAGCTGGACGTCTGACCCGGGTGTCTCTTCAATCTCCTCAGGAGAACCGGGCGGAGCCTCCACCTGGTCCAGCTCCTTCCTGTCCAGGTCCTGCTGGGCCTGGATCTTCAGGATCAGCTCCTTGATCTCCTCACGCTTCGTCTTCATCCTGAGCTGAGGGAACCAGTCTGACAGGTTCACCGGCAGGTCGAAGCTCGGGATTGGGTTCTGGATGGAGGGAGAAGAGGAGATGTTCCTCAAACAGAACCTTCAGAATAAAAGCTTAAAGAAGAAACTCACAATTATTATTATTAATACTGATTTTATTATTATTTTTATTATTATTATTACTACTGCTATTATTATTAATACTGATTTTATTATTATTTTTATTATTATTATTACTACTGCTATTATTATTAATACTGTTATTATTATTACTATTATTATAGTTATTC